CCCACGGTCTGGCTAAGCGATTGTAACGTCCTTAGATTTGTGATAATTGTTACGGAGGCAGACCTTATCAACTTACATTGGTGTTAGTAAAACAAAAATCCCAGTGAAGCGACTGCTGGTGATGATGAGAATGACAAGTTAGCTGTTGCTCAGGCCACGACTGCTAATAGCCGAGACCTCGTGATCTGGGGCATGCATCTACTGACTTCCCCATTTGGGTGACGGAGCAGCAGTTTTGGAAAAGAGCGATTTTCGTAAATTTTGTGGGCTCTTAGGTCCAGCACCCATTCTTAAGCTATTCTCAATTGACTTTCCATTTTGTCAAGGCTTTAACCATTAGTTGTGCAATGCTGTTTTGCTGATATCTTATTTGCTAATCTGTTTTTGAAATGATCACTTCAGTTTGAAGTTCTTCCTTTGGAAAAGTATTTCATTCATTGAACTCCTGCTATGATTTTACAATTTTGTTATTTACTGGCCTTGTTATGCCCCTTTGCCATCGTTCAACTCAGGCCGTGAATAACACATGCAGACCCATTAAAACTGTCAGCAATCTTGACCTCAAGGCAAGGGATTGCTATAGTTATTTCACAAGTTCGGGGCCATTTTAAATTTGCTAATTCATGAACAGGGCTAATCTAGGGTTTGGGTGTACATCTGCACCAAATGAAGCCTTGCAATCACTAAGTCTAGGCTTTTTTTCTGTTCCGAGTTAATTACCATTTCGACAGGTTCCTGGTTTGCTCTTGTCGGTGTTGTGCGTAGTAAAAGCGCGCATTCAATGATCCATGTGTGATTGTTGAACCGAGACGTTTGACATGTTATGAACCTGCTCTCGCATAAATACAGAAGCGGTTAAGTGCAAGACTACCAGTAAAACAAACTCAGCCCTCGTGAAAGGTGTTTTAAGGCAGGCCTCGATCTATCTGACGCGTCACACCAAAAATATGGTAATTACTTTCGAAAATCGCCAATTTTATGTCGTGAATCTCGATAATTACTCTAAGGCAATAAGTCATGAATCACTGAACGCAAAATTTCACCAGCCACTCCATATTCAGTAGTTGACCAATGACGATATATTACACATCCGAATATGAACGTCATTTTGGCCCGACTTAACATGGAATATATCTCACACATAAGTGCAAAGTATTGCTTATAATCGGCTCTGCGTATATCAGGGACCTAGTGTTTCATTAGACTCATTCGACTTTTGGATGAGCATGGATTCAGTTGAATGTTTGACTCCCACAGTGCATTTCCTCGTGTCATGCTATGTACGACATCACAAAAGTGCATTGGCCGCGTCCTTAGGCTTATGAGTCTTGTGAATGGTTTTGGTGGCGAGCAATAAGTCATCGTGGTAATGGTTATGGTGGTAGCCTATTTACGTCTGTCAAGCGATTAAGTAATCGCCACAGGTAGATTAGTTTGTCTGCGTCCAAAAGCACTGTTTTAACTAAATCAGCGCCTGTGATGTCAAATAAAGGGGAAAATTCAAAATTACCCTCTAGACTGGCAATTCAGAACACATTTGAAGTGCTGGAACTATTACAGGACTGGAGATGACTCCCAACCACGCCTTATGGTAGATGCGTAAGCTGAGTCATCGGTTCCATATCCTCTATGGCCACCCCATTTCCCCATGATACATCCACCTTTCGAAATTTTATTTATGTTCAGAGGTCATACTGCGGAACCATTAGTTCTACAGTGGCATTTCCTCGAGTGGGTGCCATCTCCGAGTGTAGGTATGACATGTTTTAGTGAACTGGCTTTTCACTAATACGAGCTAACTGTAAAAATCCTAAGTACCACGACACACTGCAAGGCATGAGGTAAAATGCAATGGCCCGGAAAATTTCCATGTATCACTTGTAAAAGCCCACTGTTATCGTCTATGATGGTTGGTGTTGAGAGGGTAATAATGTTTAGGTGCATAGAAGTGCCGCATCATCCTCCACCCATCATTACGGAGCACTCAGTTTGAAGAGTGTATTTGTTAATGGATGACCTCGAGTTTTGGCACTACTGGAGTCAACCATATGGCGTGTTCTTGCTATAGTAGGGTCATTTCCAAATTGAATGGGTTACTTTGTATGCCAATGTATCCCGATAAAGAATAGTATTCTATGTTGGATTACTTTCTAATTGTTGCCTTATACATTGAAACACTGCCATACATATAGCATAGAGTTGTAAGTGGTTCAATCTATTTAAAATAGTAATGTGTTACTTGCATATGGCTAACGTAACCGTAAAGCACTTTGACCTTAGGCGCAAAAGTTGTTCCAGAGAGTCAAGGGAACACTAAAAAAGGCCACTCCAGCGCATTGGGATGCAGTGAGCTGTGTAGCTGTTACATGTCTAGACAGATTGCTTTGAGATGTCAGGCGATCAACGATTTTTGTTCTCTAGATGACGTAGCGCATGATGTTTTGGTTCACACAACCTGTCGGACTAGGTTAACAGTTGTACCTTGGAGATAAGCATCTCTACCAGTTGTCACAAGGGAGTCTAACAGATAGGTTGCTTGGATTATCTCATTGTAAATCACGGCTGACCAATGATTTGTGGTACCTGGACTCTAGGGGGTGTTCTTTAGTCAAATTTCGTGTAGGGTACTATTTTCGTATATATCTCGCTGTTCTAGCCTTCCAGTTTCTGGACTTTCGGCCTAACAAAACCATGCAGGTAGTAATTGACTTCGAGGAAATCTGAGTTTATAATAATCACTTCACGAGGAGGCGACTTTCCCCTTTCCAGTTTGGATGTGTCTGCGAAAACAAGTCCTCGGTGTATTTTAAGTGACTCTATGGGCCTGATATCGACAAGTCTATTTAATTACCAAGTCCTTGAAGATTCGTCCATTATTTTTGGTGGCAGTTAGACCTTCAGAATTCCAATCCTGACCCCTGGGGTTTTGTTTTCCATGAAATTAGCATTAAAAAAGTGCCAATAACAGGAAAGGTTGCAGATCAGGGAAGACTACCTGATTCGCTAGTTACTTGACGCCTCGCTATGATTTACTCGTCGAGTTGCAGATACTTGGCTGTAATTTACTGTTTCACCTTCCCTCCTCATTGTCTGTGTTCCCTTGTGTTTCCACGTGTTTTTTGTAGCATGTGGAACTACCTTTTTAGTGCACTTTATACGATCCAATTTGGCTATTATTGCCTCTATTTATAGTCTCTCATCGACAATAAACGCCGCCTGCGTGCAATTGTTTCCGTCCAAAGTAGCCATTACTTGGTAAATTAGACACTAAGGATTCAAGTCTCTTAGTCATTATACCCCATTTATTTGAATTGCTGGTCGCTAATTATGGCTTTCGTGATTGTTTACCCACGGTCTGTGGTTTGATATTTGGCCTAGAATGATTTTTTTCACTCCTCATTCGCCTCTTATCCACTTAACTCCAAAGGTGCCCCCATTAAAGTCACATTTCAGTTTCTGAACAATAAATAGTCCCATTCTACCGGTGTTTAACCTCTTAAGAGTCACAGAAGGTTCGACAGTGTGTACGTTGTGTGGGACGCATCTCTTAATAACATTGTTGTGGCCAGACACCTCACGAAGTATCCACGGAAGAAACAAGACAAATGACGGAAACTCAGCCTTCTATGGCGTTAATAAGAGAGGAGATATTTATCTTGGAGAGGCGTCAGTTTTTTTGGAAATCCCGACAGTGCTACGTAAAATGAATTTTCAGATAATCGATTGAATTCGCGTTCGCTTTTGCTTGGAAAATTAGTTAGCGTGTTGATCTAGAGATAGCCCACTCTTTCCTCCAATGCGAAAAAAATATTTTCATACCCTGTCTCCTGTCAAACGATTTGCATGGAACTATGTGCCAGACGACTTTTTCAGTTGCAAATTTAAATCTCTGTTCCAACTCAAAAGTGTGTAACACTACTACTGGCATTGTTGGCATCTGGTCATTTAGATCTCCTAATTAAAAGTAAAGGCATGATCGTCTGCCAAACAGGGTGAAAGCAGGCCTGGATTTGAATTTCATAACGAGGAATATTTTGAGAAGGATCACAACATGGGTGACTGATTGCGGTTGGTGGTGTGACCTTGAGACCGGGGGTGACTTGCGATTCAACGTCTTTGTTGCACCTCCCGGTGACGTTGGGGCGCCTCAGAAAGTCTTTGTGATGACGATATAACCACCAACTGCATTCTTGAGCTCAGCTGTGACGTCAGTCGGGCTCAAGTACACTTCATCTCTATTTCTTGCCACAGCAACATTCCTCAGAGATTTTTGTTGCTAGCACCACTTCAATTGCCTATCCTGCACCTTGATTTCAGAAACCAAATAGCGAGCGACAATTAAGGGAGCCGCCACGTTCGTGCACAAGAAGTCGAAGAATGTTTAAGCCGTTTCTGGGCCCTTTCCAGCTTCTGAAAGCCTGCGTCATTGTCCACTCTCGCAACCCGTCATTCTGCACCACCAGCTTGGCAAACGCCACTAACCGCGAGCCTTGAACTTCCCAGTCTTCCCATTGACCCAACAACCGGTCGAAATAACTTCGCGAGTAAGTGATTTCAATTGCTAAAATCGTCCTAAGGAATTATGGGTCTCATTTTCACTGTTGACTAAAGATCCGGTCTCATCCCGACAACACAGGAGCCCTTCAAACTCCTCAATGTTTAAATTACTTTAAAATTTATTTTCCGGTGCTATAAATACTCAATTGATGCATGACAGCTGTTCTCAAGCATAAGATTTATCGCCACATAGCTGTTAATTTCTGCTCATTGGTTTGGCTTGCAGAATCTGTAGCCTAGCTGCAACTTATTAAAGGTTCTAATTACCCCTGGCAGTTGTGCCGCTTTCGTGTTTCTTGAGTTTGTCTAACAAGTTTGCGATTTGCGGATTGATACACAAGTGATTTAAACGATGAAAATTACCCCATAGATGCCTTCTTGACAGTGGTACATAAAGGTTTACCTAGACTTGTATTTAAGAGTTCCATCCTACTGCCAGTTGAATGTCACCCATGGAGTCTGCTCACATCGTTGACGAGGAATTTCCCCCATCGAAATCGCACCAGTCGCGGGCCTGGCGTCACCACAACCCTCTCCATCATCACTATCAGCAAGATGCCATTACAGAACCCCTCCCCTCAACTTATTATCACCATAAGGCTAAGAGGAAGAGCTCTGCAAGTTCGTCAAATTCCTCATCTTCTTCATCATCCTCATCTTCTAAATCTACGTTTGTGCCGGTAAGTGCAGTGGTTTGCATGTTTTTAAGCTCCACCTCCTTATGCCTCACCCCCAGACCCCTTGCTTTTACCACTCTTCACCGGCTCCGCTCTTAATTGCTACCCAGCCCCTTTTGTCTTTTACCCCTAACGCCGTTAAGTGTCTCGTCAACGAAAATGTACTTCTACACGTAGGCTAGAGGAAAATTATCTAAAGCTCAAAAGTCTGCCTGCCGCTGGATTTTGCTCACACTCAACAATCCATTGTGCTCAGGACGTAGTGGAAGTAAAATGCTCACTCAAGACTTATTTCTTCAGCTAATCACGTATTTTGAGCCAATTAGCGTTACACATATTGTTTTTATCAATAACATTTTCCACTTTTTTAATGGAACTCGTGTCACTCTTGAGCTGACCAGCCTCTGCTTGAGTGTGCCAAAAATGTGTGAATTCACTTTCTTGTGGGTGGGAACATCTTGAAAATATTGCCAGCAAATGTGACATGGTCACTGTTTGCAATGCCATGTAGTCATAATCATCTCACTTTGCACGAGATCCGACCCAAGCTGTACCTCCCAACGCACCTCCCAGCCCCAGTTTATGCCGGTCTCATGCTTTGTAAGCAGCGCCAAAGTTAACCTCACGCTGATGAGGCGTTGAACCGTAATGCCTCTAAATACACAAGGTGCACACTGATCTAATCCCTTCGAGACAGTGCTTGAACGATCTCAGTTTTCGCATCACCAAGACGGCTCAAGAGGTCATAGTGTATTTGTCGGGAGTTGTAAGAAGCCCAGTGATTTTTTCCCATGTAATTTACACGCCTATCACACGGCAGTAGTCGTCATACTGTTAGTTAAGTGGGCCACCGAAAATCGCGTGCCTAGTTAGCTGGGCACTCGTTTGCTCTAAACCTTGGCCAGATTATAACTGCAAGGCTGCTTTTTTTCATTCTGCCAATCACTTAGAAAGTAACATAAATTCAATCGTGTCGTCAAAATTAGGGCACTCCATCCACAACATCCCCCTTCACACAATTTAGTCCCACACAAATCTGAGGTGTTATTTTTTTAAGTAGAAAATAAATTTGTTGTTACATTCACAAGACGCTGCAGCAACAGAAGTGCACATCAAAAAATGGCTTGTGTGCGGTTTGGTTTTATTAAAAAAAAATCCAGTCAGAGCTTATGAACGCACTTATCAAGCCCAAATAGGTGACATCGCTTTTCCGCATTTGTTGCCAACATTATTCTTTAGTGACTTTGAGCTTATTAAACATCTTCGTCCTTTTCGTGGATGTTATTTCGACCACCTACTTGAATGCCGCTTCCACAGATCCAGGTCTTATTTGACGTTACCAAGGTCCTTGATTTTGATAACTAGAGATCTAAACCAAAGTGAAAATGCCACCATTTATAAAAGTATTCCATGCTGGTACTAGTATGCTTCGTGAAAATATTTACTTAAACCCACGATTTCGTTGCAAACCTTTTCCCCCCGGGGCCAACGCTTACATAATTTAACACTTTTTGACCCACGGAAAGCCTTGATACTAATTTAAGCCTTGTTTTAAAAGTTGGTAAACGAAGCATTGAGTAAAATGCACACGCATTTTTTTCAGTAAAGGTTGGTTTGACTAAACAAGTGCTCTGTGTCAATAACCATTTGCTTCACGACATTAAATTGTATGCCCAAGCATAAATTTTGCAAAACATTTCCACCACTTACAGTAGACATTATTTTCCATTTGGATTGGAATGTAACTGGCACCATTGGATGTGTACTTTGAAAAAGCATCAACAATTCAACTGAACTTGTCAGGTTCAAAACAAACGCACCATGTCGGATGATTTCTGCTACTTTCTTCCAGTGTAATTTATCCCCCAACGGAAGAGAGGGGCATGCGAAAGTGGAACTAAACATAGTAATTTAAGCACACCCATTGTGGAATGCCAACTGCAAATAAAACCGTTGCTGCGTTGCCTCACTTCTCGCCTTCGTGTATAAAACCCCTCTGTACTGCTTTACGGAAATGGCTTTACGTTAAGACCACCATTGTAACTTTAAAGGAATGCTCTGTTAACCTGCATTACATTACTCTATTAGCCAGGCCTAAATTTCGAGGTTGTACCAATTAGCACTTACAAATTACTCGAAGAATTTTGGGTTGGAATGCTTGGTATGAGATGCCGGTACTTTGAGATGTAATCAAGTGTGGAGGTTATTAAGATTTCGGTAGATGCGGTGTAATTAAATTTGTGACTAGTACGTTGCGTTTAATGCATACACTGGCTTGGGAGTGTCCAGTACTTACGCGCATTACGGATTCGTATTTACTGCTAATGGAATGTGCAAATGCGCGGTCCACAGCGTAACCGCAGCGACACCAAACTTTGCACGCACTGCAGCGCTTATCTCTCGCCTTTTAGCCAACATGGATAGAACAGAAAATCACTCAACTGGACTGTGCCAAGTTTGTTCCCTCTGTCAAATATCCCGATCGGTGAGTCCGACTTCTTCCTATCATTTTTCTTAAATTTTTTTTATCACAATTAGGATACATTGTTCGGCTTATCCTGCCGCTTTTGGTTGTTCTGACGATAACTGTGTAAATATCTGGTGAACGGTAGTTTCCCGCTAACTTCAGTCACGCTCGAGTGGTCTGACTAATTGCCCTTCTATCCAGGACACAGCGAGAGTCTGGTGACTTTGTCCCGATTAAAACACAAGTCACGTTTTGCCCTCCTGCCAATGTAGGATTTAAAGCTTTGAGCTTTTTGCTGTGTAGTTGCCAGAATTCCCTAGCACAAAACGGTCTTTTATGTCCCCCCTCAGGATGCCCAACATAACTCCAGACTCTGAGGTATCATGTCCACTTAGGGTATCCCCACTCATTCAGGTTGTGTTTGAGTTTTATTAACAAGCCTCAGGATTACAAGTGGTCCCACAGGAGTAAGAGAAACAAACACCTTGGCACCTGAGAGGCTTTTCACCTCGAGGCAGAAGTGATTGTTTCCACTGTGCCCTCTTAGCTGTGGCTGTGGACGCTTTCCGGAGGAACACGATCTGGACGTGCTCCGGGAGGCCCGCGCGAACACCCCGCCTTCCCCCTCGTACCAACCCGAACGGTGGCAGGTGAAAACGCACACTCGAGAGGTCCCCACAACCGCCTTCGGCACCGTCGAATTCCAAGGCGGACCGCACCCCACCAAGGCCAGGGTAGGCTTCGCTGGCAGTCCAAACTGCGGATGCATCACTGCCTTTTCCACTTTTGTGTGCAGTATCTTGGCATGAGGTTCTCACCTTCCATGGGTCTTTTTACCTGAGAATAGCAAACAGGCGTGTTTGGCTGTTAATGTAGAAAGTCACGAGTTCATTGTCGAACTTCATGATTGCTAAGCTTTAATCCGCTAGAAATGCGACAAAAAGGGGCCTCTTGACTCGGCTTTATTATACACAAAATGTGTTTAACAAAGAGTGTTGACTTCACTAACATCACTCACTACTAATGTTACACCAACAGCTTCAAATGTAATATGATCACATGGCGGATAAGCATGCATGGGTGTGTATCTAAAACGTAAAAAAATTGAGATGATGATTGACAGAGAATGGCATTCGGTTGCAGTCATACGATTTCATATAGCCCTTTCTGTTTTTTCCATTTTTAACACATGCAGCTGTTCAAGCAAAGTGCAAATTGTGCAAAATTTCTATTACAACAGGCTATTATGAGCATCCAGCATCTCTTTCTCCCATCGGGAATTGTGAAGCGTTCTAATGGGGTGCGTGTCATATGCCGTATAAGTAGAAAGCCGCAGTAGTGTCAAACCCATCCTCTACCCTTTTGATGAGCCCTGAAACCAACGACAGTAGCGCCTTTTACAATCCAACAGTACTTTGAATTGGTAATCAAGACGTAGCATCTGCCCTATCTCACATGATTGCGCTAATTTTCCATGATGCGTTGCCGGGCTTAGGTAGATGGCTTAAATTGGGCTTACTTGTGAGGTAGGTGTGAATGCAAATAAGGTGAAATTCAGTGGATTACAGGTGAATCGCTTTCGCAGCCTCTTGTTCTCATTTTACAATTTTGTTGGAACTCACTGAATGGCGATGATTCCTGTTGCTGGTAATTTCTGACTTGTCTGGAGTGTACGGGTTTAAGTGCAGAAGAGCTTGTGGTCACACATCAGGTGACAAAATGGTTGCATAACACTCGTAAATGTGAAGGCATTATTGCAGAATCCAAGTTTAATAGCTCACCAATTTGGTTATTTGAAGCACTGGGCTCTCGGTATGCTTATCTTAATAAATACCGCTAAATACATTTGGTTCCTTTTAGGCACCAAGTCGTTAAAATTTGGCAGGCCTTGATTGGAAGATAAAAGCGATTTTTGCGTTTTAGTCGGTGTTTCCTCGATTAAATAACTGGCCAAATCGGCTTTAAACCTGAGCATTTTACTCTCAAAGTCGGCGTTTAGCAAGGCAAATCTTCCTTCCTATTTGCTCGAATGGGGTTGACCTGAAGATGAGCTAACATGGTGTTTTTTTTTTAGCTTTCACTCATTAGTCATGGTAGTCAGTCTGTTGTACACGTGTGAAAGTATCTTGATTGCTTCGTGTTCGTGTGCAGACCACAAGTCTTGTAATGCATGATGGATTAGTTGATGCGATAACTGCCGGTGAACTAGTGCAGCCGCATTTATTCGCTCGTTTTCTTTTTCCAAGCAACCTGTTGCGTTTGATTTCTATTACCATTTTAATCCCACCGCGGTCTCAAATTATTCAGGTTTTTTCCGCGTTCTTTTCTTGCTTAAATGCTCAAATTCTGTCGACAGTACTGCAAACATTAAGATAAATTGGGCTGATTCGAAAATTACTCTTCCACCTGCAAATGCTGATGGCTTTTGCACATTTGTGTGTGTGAACGCGCATTTAGAAGCGCGATACCTGGACTCGGCATGAATTAAAACAAATTGGCTTAATGCACAGAATCGGTATTTTCGCAATGCATCTCAAATGCAATAAAACCGTGTTTTTTTTTGGAAAAAAAGCCGTTACAAATGCTGCTAAATATTCTCGCAGTGTGATTCTTTTTAGAGAATGCCTCAACCAAAGTACAATTATGAACAGCGACCCAACTGGTCCAATGAGCCTTTTTTATGCTAACCACTGCAACTTCCCTGCTGCCCTTTAGTATGTAAGAATCAGCTACGAGACAGCGCCGGAGACAGTGGTTCAGCTGCTGCTACGCGAGTGGCGTCTGCGCGTGCCCAGTCTGGTCATCTCCGTGCTCGGGGGGCTGGCGAATGCGCCGCTGCAGGCCAAGCTCGGCTCGGTTGTGCAACGCGGCCTCCTCAGAGCCGCCAAAACCACCGGCGCCTGGGTCATCACCAACGGACTCGACACTGGTGAGGCTAACTGCTGCTGGTTCATCGTGCAGTCGTCAGTCATTTTCATCCCGGCTGTCTCCTAATTGAACCATTGGGTCAACTTCGATCCCACCACTTTTGATTAGTCAGAAAAAATGAAAGCCTCCCTATCACCTTAGTCGCCAAATTACAATGCGTTTAACTCCTGTTTTAGAAAAGCACCTTTTGCACCTTTTTATCCCATTAAGCATGAGTTTTTGCAAAACACTTGGAACAATCAGAGCACGTAGTACTTGGGCCACGTTGTTTCTTGCACCCATTGCACCTTTAATTTAGCACCAACAGTCATTTGGTCTAGCCCAAGAGATCTCTGCGATTGCAAAAGCGTGCATTCACTTGAACCGTTGTTCAGCTTTCCTGGGGGTACACTGTGGATTAAGAATAAGTTGAATTATCGGTGGCGCTTGGAGCCTCAGTAACGATGAACCCCAGTGCACTTTTGGTCGTATGGCTTTACTGTGCAACACCATTTGCATTTTCGGACCATTGTATTAACCCATATTCCTAGCTTTATCGCCTAAGAAGTGATTATGCTCGGACTGTGCTTACTCCAAAGTACAGACATCATCTTGCACTCCAAAAAGCAGGCAAGTTGATTGGTTCGGATCGTGAGAATGGTACCGCTTCGTTTGTATCGCCAGTTTTAACATAAGGCGATGTGATTAACATCAGCTGTAACTTGTATGATCGGAAGTAGCGATCCTAATTGTAGTGAGTGCAAATGGAAGTTGTCATAGTCTAATTTGATCTTGCAGGCGTGACTCGTCACGTGGGCGAGGCTCTGGGCGAGGAAGTGCACGTTCGCGGCTCCAAGATCGTCGCGCTGGGAATAGCGCCTTGGGGCGTCGTGCAGCAGCGAGATATGCTCATTGGAATAGATGTAAGCTGGGAATTCCTACCGTCCTCCCTCGGCCACAGGTCGTGATTAAATCCCTAGAAGGCTTGTTCATTTTCCTTATCTGCTTTTTGTCTCTAGCACACTTGTCAGTACCACGCACAGGGAACATTAGCGGGTCGACAGGAGACCGCTTTGAATCCCCACCACAACTACTTCCTTTTGGCTGATAACGGAACTTCGGGAAAATTTTCTACTGCCGAGATCTGTCTTCGTCGTCGTCTGGAGCAGTACCTTGCTCAACAGCCAATCGGACTGCGCAGACTCGGTAGGTATCCTTTCTCTGTTTCCTCTTCGTTTCCCTCTTCTCATTTCCCTTCCGCTCAACCACTGCAGACTGAAACGGTATATATCGCCTCATCGCTGGGATAGAGTTTAGCAGTTTCTCCGTTGCAATAAAGATCAAACCCTACTTGTTATGCAGGATATCCCAGGACTCACACGCATGTCCTAAAAACAGCACAAGGTCAAATGCCTTAAATCGCTTAATGAGGTTTTTAAAACGTCATTAACATCCCATTCCTTTGGTAATTTTCTATCATTTCGTCAAATAAACCTCACACATTAATCTCACATCAGAAATTCAATCGATCCATAGCTAACTCGAAACCCTACCTAGCTCGCTTGTTACCTGACCCTGCGAGTTTACGAAGTGGGATTTATTTTCGGCTAAGTTGCCTTTTGAGCGGAACCTGCTTGCTTAAGTGGTGCACAAGGTGCTTTCGACTTCCAATGACTGTTTGATCTTTCATTCCTCTGACAAGGAAGCACTATTTTGGGTGATGCTGAGTTTGTGGGGACATGGCTTGTTGCTTAACGAGTGACTTACGTATTTAACTATGAGTGAAACCCTCCGACTGAATAAGGACTCTTCATCTAGCCATTGTTGACTGCATTTAGCACCCGTTCTTTGGTTTGCGCCACTGTTCGCCTTTCGCCTAACTGATTATCTCCAACAGGAATCGTTGAGGACTTAACTGGTCATTTAATTGACCTTTAACTTTTAACATCTCTGTGATTCTCGATGGAAGGCCATCAGCAAACTTGTCACTTGAAAACGGGAACTTCAAGGTGGGCCGTTGTAGGGCGGTGACTGGATTTGTTAATTTAATTAGAACCTTGTAAATAAGTCACAAATGGCAATAGGTTTGTTACTAAACTCATTTTTATGTGATGATGTCTGGCAAAAGTCACTCTGTAGATTTGGCGTTCAGGTTAGTGTACTGAATTCTAGTTCCCAATGCGTGACTTTCAATTCACAAGAGCATTCTTTTACCGTTTTTTTTCTGTACTTGCACCCATTTGATGGGTTGAAATATTAAAAGCGTTGTTCTCCCATTACATGCTTCCAAGTAACACGATCTTTATGGAAAAAAATCCGCTTGCAGCTCTTGAGTTAAATTTTTTTTGTCATAGAGAGACTTGTTATCTGAGAACTCACATTGGCAATTGGCTATTTTAAGCGTAATCTCCTTCGCCAGTCTAACCTCCCCTTTCTGTACTCCTTTTTAATTAAGCGTCTAGTTTATTTTTGGAAGGCTACTTAAAAAGGCATTGTAAAAACTTCGCCGTTTATGCATCAGAACCGGCCACCCACCCACGCACTCAAACACTCGACCGCTCAACTCCTGTTTTAATTTTCAGGAGGTCACAAGTCTCGAGTGCCAGTGGTGGGCCTGTTGATCGAGGGGGGCCACCAGACCTTCCGGACGGTCTTCGAGTTGCTCACAGGAAGAAACCCCGTCCCCGTGGTCATTTGCGATGGCTCTGGGCGTGCTGCTGACCTCCTATCCTTCATGTACCACTACGCAGGCCCCGACGGGTCAGTTCTTTTCCTCGTTGACGCCGTTTTGTTGGGTCTTTTAAGAACTCATTCAATCGGTCGGCCAAACGCAGTCTATGTTAAATCACCTTCTACAGATTAGACAGAGAAATCGATGTGCTGGTTGGGGTACTGATATGGCAAAAGCCATGTGCATTTATCGAAAACTTAGTTGAGCTTTCTAATAGCCACCCTGTACATTGCTCTTCGAGCACGAGTTGACTTCGCGGGAACGTGCAGTTGATCAACTTCGTACTCCTGGGTTTGCTTATTAGGCTTTATTGAAAATATGTCTCCTAACCCAAAATGTTCAATAGAAACAAACAACCTTTGTTCCTGCCATTTACGTTGGCCGGTGTTTTTGTTCTCTGCGTGGTTTAATTTTTGCTTCTGTTCGCACTAAAACGGGTCCATGGTAATCATGTTATCGTGTGAAACCTGTCAAACACAATGAATCGGGAGATTAGTTTAGCCAAGTGGTGAGATTAGTTTGTGAGAATGTGTACCAACTGCGCCTTTTGGGCAACCCCGGAGAGAAGATTGATAATGCTTCATTAGAAATTTGCCAGTTACTACGTTAAAAATGATCTGGTATAATTTCACTCAGTTATAACTGGCGTGGTAAGCAGTGTCAAGTAGTCTGATCAGGCCACTAGTTTTTATCGAATCGCTGCGCAGATTCTGATTACTAGTGAACTGGCGTGCTTCGTCTGATTAGTTTGCTCTAAGTTTACATGACACTAAATTCTCCGTTGGTCGGTCAATAGCTTCCTGGCGAGCCTAAACGAACCGTCCACACATGGATTTTCCTCTTTGTACCGTTGAAGGTGCTAATTCGGTGTGACCCGTGGTGGTGAAGTTTAAATTGCCGGTGATGCCGTTGAGCTCACGTTTCACAGCCCAGGGGGTCCACTGCAACTCGAAAGTGCCGTGCCAATCCAAACACTTTTCGGCGTGGCCTAATTTCCCATTCTAATGCGTTAGACTCGGCTTAATCGGGGACAGAGCTAATACGAACAGCCTGAAAAGAAGTGTCGTTTTTCCTCCATAATTTAGTGATTTGGTTCCGCATCTACGACGCCAGGTCATCGCAAACATTGCACGAACATTCCAAATCAAGCAGGCCGAAGCCGAAAGCCTCTACCTCGATATGAAACTATGCATGAGGCGTCGCGACCTTGTGAGTTGGTTTAATGTCCTCTCCAAGTCTCTCCCTCCCTCCCCCCCTAAATGCCCCTTTCAAGGTTGTTTTTCGGAGGTCTCAACTTCGATGTACACGGCTTCCTTAATCACTCGCATGGTTCAAGAGCTTCTCCCAAGTGAATAAGCAGATAATGCAGCCCTTCTGGAAACCCTATTTTTTTTGTTTCCCCAGTTAAAATTCGAGCGTTGCGGTAAAACCTGATTTGATTCATCGCAAATCGCCTCCGGGTGTTAATTTAATTACTGGCATGAGTCTGCTTTCACTACTCGTCTACTGACCCTCAAAGATGTCCGCATTGATGTCGACTGCACGTCACGCTAATTGACTGCCGGGATTTTCAGCCAAATATTAGTAAGACCTTATGAAACAGGTTGATACGTGAGAAAGAGTCATTTATCACACCAGTGCTGCTTCAAGTATATGCGGGCTCCAAATGACTAATCTGAGAGTTCTACTTCACTAGCAGTGCGCTGTTTACGGTCCTTGTCCGTACCGCGGATAGCAATTGTGCTATCAAAGCTCGCAGAAACGATTACAAACAACCTGTGCTGTGTGTGCTGGTGTAAAGGGATTTCATTTGCGCTTGTTTTGACTTCGTTCTAGCCAGTTACCTGTGGAACAATTGCAGCATTTAATCGTTGTTTTGGAAGGCAAAAAAGTGTTACGAGATCATAAGATTTTTCCCCATTATTTTTAATGCATCAACAAGTTCTCCAGTGCATAAACAATTGTTCTTGCAGTGTTTGTCTGTAATTAATCACCGCGTGGCTGTTTTAGCCTAAACTTAAGGTGTGGCAAAAATACTGGCCCACTGAGCTTTAGTTCCCTCAATCGCTTAGAAACACACCGGGATCGATTAAGCAAAACAACAAGAGCGGTTCGGCAATACAATCCTTTTTTGGATAGTAAAAAATAAGGTGAATGTTTACTTGGATTATCACAGGACGAGCAACAACATTGACTGATAATGCGACTGAAACGTCAACTAAGTTCGGAAACATGGTGCCCAGACTGTTTCTTTCACTAAGCACTGTTCACTGAGTAAGTTGGAAGTGGCGCTAGACGATCGTGCTAGACCCCCTCAGCAATGACCTTATTTCATCTGCCTTCTATGTCCTTCTCACTATTGGTGTTTTCTGCTATACTGGCTGCATTGTTTTCTGCCATGTGTTTCCTGTTCTATCACCCCAACATTTCACATTTTTTTCTCAGCGGTAAAGTGGCGTGACTTTGCATTCCGTTTGAGTGGGCTTACCGAACATCGCTTACTTGTGAAATACTCAAGGATGGTTTGACGGTGGCTTACTTCGGATCGTCACGCCACCTTAGGTGGACCTCATTGACGCTGACCAGGTGCAAATCATTTATTTTCAGCCGGCTATTTCACCCTATCCGAGCCATCTGGTGAAAAACGGCACATTACACTAACGCTGTTGACAATAGCACGTCTGCCCATGCCCCCTGAGCTGTTTTTTTTTGTGGATAATTACTCGTCGTTACCAACGTTCATATGTGTGGACCGCGTGGGTGTTGGTTGCACTCCTAGAACATTCTCTGGAGTTCGTGTTAGGACGTGGTTTTTGACTCCGCCATTTGCGTTTTTTTCATGGTAACAGTAATTAACAGGACAATGCTATGAATGTCGAAGTCCAATTGCAAGATTCCGGGCTAATCAGTGACATGCCATGGAAGGATCAACGAGCTGGCTTCAATGATTTACCTCAAGCAGACGATGTCGCACTCCTGGAATCAGTTTCCTCAACACTGTAACGCACATTGTAAATCCTCATGGGGTATTCCTCAATAACTTCGACGAATACTATTTCAATGACTTAGCACAAAATTGCAGATTCGTTAACAGGCGTAATTCGCGACGAACTAGCCCGCATCTGGGCTACCGCACTGCACTTCTGCCAGTAATGGGTTTTGTGCAATAAATGCTCACTTTCATTTATCACCTAGTTTTGCCGAAAAAAGGTAAATCGAGTATGCGAAATTTGCAATATCGATACAGTGGCTCGGATTTCGAATTAATTTTTCTGCTTTGACAGTTTCTGTACTGTGTTTTCTGGGCCTGTTAGAGACTGACTCCTACTTTCTACAATTTTGAGGTCATGGTCAGTTACAGCTCCCGTGATGTGCCTGATTGATTTAAACGGTGTGATGACAGTTGTGGCGATTACTTGGGTAGAATGTTGATTGCATTATTTACGCATGTACAGCACTGCCAAAGGTCCCTTTGCAGAGTCTAAACATCATTGACCCCTGAAACGTGCAGGTCAACTGAGTCACTAGATGGAGAGAATGTCTGGACGATTTCCCCTGAATTTTTATCCTCTAAATCGCATCACCGGTCATAGGGACAGTCTTTGCTCAGAAGGACAATCTTCTAAAGCATGGAAAAGAATTTCTATGCACTCATTTCTTTTGCAAGTGTGGCCTTCTAAGAGGTCAAGGAATAATTCATTGTGGTTCTCAATTACTGGGACCGTGAAGGCATCATTCTTTTGGAGCCACTTGCGAATCACGGAACGGTTAAATCAACAAGTACATCGACTTGACAAGGCGATTCAGAGAATGCGGCGTTATAAACGTTATGGAGTACTTTTTCACCATGATAATGTCCCTCATAACGTTGCCGCCATGTCCAAAGTTACCACAGCCTTCATATTCTCCAGAACCAGCTCTCTTTCTGCCCAATTTGCATATTTTCCGGTCATTATCCAACAATTTGCCTGAGGCCTCATTCAACACTAACATAGTAGAGGTAAAAGCCTAATTATTAGAATGATCTGAGCCAAACCCCAGGTGTTTTGACTGCAGAATCGTGAAGTGACTTGTTGACAATTTGGAAGAATCTGTAAAAAGCAGCGGAGAGCGCATTATTATTTAATCTCCATCGTGTCTTTTTTGTGATTTGTTGCCTAAAGCTTGCTTAAAATCCAGTGACCTTCTCGATGCGCCTTCGTGCTAGTGCCTTTGCAAATTAAGCTGCCTGGGTTAGACTAAAATGTCACCTTCGTTTGTCGCCACAAATGTGCTATTTTTTCGACAATCCATCATGCATAGCAATAGTGCTTGATATTCTTGGTACACTCCATTTTTAGCTTTGGACCGATCATTAGCCAACAGACTGAGGAGGCGGTAATCACTGATGCGATAATTCGATAATGCCTTAAAAGTCTACCCTACTAATTTTTGTACTACTAATTCAAATGGAGTAATTTATGAAAGACAGTGTATTTTTTAAAATTTCCATGAGTTAAAGAGCTTGAGCATTTCAGGGGATTCAGTGAATTAAGTTTTGTTCTGTTGTCTTACAGGGGTTTTTTTGTGCTAGGATTTTCTCTACTCCACTTCCGTTTCAGTAAAGGTGCATTCATAATTTACCATCAGTGTTGGTTCTGGTAGTTTTGAAATATTCGTGCCCCCTACGTACCCACGGGGGAGGGAGCAGCGTGTACAAAGTCCCGCAGTTGGTTTTTCTATCCTTCCTACTTTTTGGTCTTCAACTTACGTCATCAGGGTACATTTTTATGTGGGTTCAACATTCCCACTGGCGTATTTTTTTTTCAATATTCCAAAGGCGCATGTTAACTGCCCTAGTTTCAACCCGGGCTGGTGATTCCATTTAGTTCCGGCAGGGTAATTATCTAAGAAAACACCATTTTGCCCCTCTAGTTGAGCGTATTTCAAATGGGAGATGGCACATCGGACGAAATTGACCTCACCATTCTCACGGCTTTACTTCAGGGTGAGTCCCACTGTTAAAAATTGCTGTCTTTATTTACTTTTCGGAGACTAATTCAGAGAAAAGCAAGTGCTCCGATATGATCTCTTTCTACTTTTATTTGCATCACAGCCTGTCTTATTTGCAGTTAATATTGTGGCGTCGATGACCAGGAGATGTGATTGCTCTTTAGGCTCCTGTTTCGTTGATTTCATTTGGCTTGCTAACTAGCGTCGAAGTCGTTGACAAAAATGTGAACCTAACAAAGACGAATCTACAAACTGGACGTGCTACTGGTTTTTCTCTGGCATCGTCCCGCATTCAGTGACCATGAATTCCATTTGCTATTGGTGGTTGTGGTGCCGCATCAAGCAGTAATTGTCAATGAAATAACTTGTTTACTTTGCCGCCATAAATAGCATTCGCTGAATGTGTTGCCCACGCGGTCATTATTGTCAGCAAACGCCTCCTCCCATGGCCTTGAGACTGTCAAATTCTAATGGCACAAAAAGCGCGCTAATTGTTTATCCACTGTCTTCCACCACAAAGGCGACGCTTTGTGTGCGTATTATCACTGTCATCTTGTTTTAGCTCCGGGCCAAAATCTCACACCGGCTGACCAGCTTTCATTGACCATGGCCTGGCAGAGGCCCGATATTGCTCGTTCCCGCATTCTGGTCAACGCCAACGACTGGTCGGTGAGTCGATTACGTGCCATTCCGCTCTCTTCCACTCCTTCTAAATTTCCTTAAATGACACGAGTGATCGTCTAGAGCTTGATTAGCTTGATCTTTTCGATTTTTGCATGCTCATAAGATATTGACTTCATTTGGGTCTGATTGGTCGCATTTCGAGATTACTTTCGGCCTCGGTCTAACAAGGGCTAATTTGGAACCAATCTCTTGTTCCTGACTTAGACTGAACACCTCATAAGCATGCTTCCTTGAAAAAGAGTCTTTCAAGGAGCGCTGAGAACACCTACTGAAACGGGCTAATCTAGATCGTTGCAAAGTAGATGGTTCTGCGCGCAGATGGCACTTTGTGCTGCAACACACTGCCGACCTTTACTGTGAGTGACGCGTAGCCATAAGTCTCGGCTTCAACAAACCTTTGACCTACCACTGTGCACCGGACAATTTTCAGCTGTCCGTTAGAGGCGACACACGTTTTGAAGATTGTGTGGGTAGGCTCGGCTGTTGGATTCGCCATAAACGACCTCCTCTCAGACCAGACGCCAATGCTCTAACCTGCGACCCCTTGCTTCTCTGTTTACGTTGTGACTGTTGTGGAAAAGTTGACCTTAGCTGAGATTGATGTGTTGACATACCGGAAAACCGCCACAGACAGTCCAGAAGATAGAGCGCCCCTGTCTGTTTACACTGGTTCATTTCAACAATTTAAACAATCGCATTCCATTACAGCGTCTCCTCGTTGATAACCTAGACACGCCACTGCGGGTAGTGGATTTCGAGAAGGAGGATAGTGGTTTTCGATTTTTCTGCTTCAGATGGTCCATTTCTCGGGATTTGGGACAGTGCGTTGCGAACAATTTTCATGACGCACAAAGACTAGTCAAGATGTGACCCAGAGTTCCCTGTTGCACGGCTTTCGTTGCCTAATCTGCAGTTCACTTTTTTGAGCCTCGTGTGTAGATGAGGGATAGAAGATCACTGAACGCTAGAAAATCGGAGGTCTGAGGATAATGACGATGTGTAAGTCGACGATTTCATCAAATTGGGGACAATTCAGTTGAACCGGCGGTATTTGGGGTCTAGAGCTATCCTCTTGCCCGTTTGAGAGGCGACACGCAGATTACAACAAAGCCTGTTATATGGTGCCACGTTTTGATTTGTCAAAGACCGCGCTGTTTGCGTTTGCTGTGTGGGCCAGAAAAGGCTTTTCATGGTGTAAATAACGGTAACAGCTTAGACCCTACCAGACAAACACGCCGGATAGAAGAACCTCAGGAACATAAAGGCGTTCACAGATTTTCTGCTGAGGAGCAAACTAATCAGTGTTCAAACGGAAGTCAGTACAGTAAAACAAAGATTTACGAGGAATAACATGACAAATGTTGTACACCGCGCGGGGAATTTTGGTTGAGTGCTACACGCCATCTTATAATATGCCCATATTCGGCTCTGGGAGCTTTAACTGAATAACTTAACCTCAGAACTGCTTGGTTTGTGAAGTAATCCTTCTGCTACAACTGGGCGTTTACGTGAGGGCGTCAACAGGACAGGTTAGACGACAGGCACGGGCCGCTGATTGGTGTGCTAAAATTGGCTATCGGGTGATAATCTGAATGCACACAACTGGGGAAGCCTGCTACAAACACTCTTGACATTCGGCATTTGGGAACGGTACACTATTAAAGTCCACAAAAACACGTTGGGATTGTGTCGTGGAAGGTAGCGATTTAGTCGCCGCCGTGAGGAGCGACCACCATTTGAAGTCACCGAGTTAGTCTTCAAATGCCATCGTGCACACTTGTGAATCCTGTTAAAACTTTTCCTGTCATAAATTGGTAGCTAGGAAAACGAGCCTGCTAAGCGGAATTCGCATTAACCAACTGATGATCAGTTGATTTTCGATCGTTGTTAAAATAGCGCCACAGGACTCTAAATTCCATAGAAGATAACGGGTTTCCACTATCATCATCATCAGCAGCAGCAGCGGCATCTACAATCACTTTGGGTCCTTTAGTTGGCTTGTTTAATTTTCTTTGCAGCAGTTTTTTTGGAATGTCCCTCGCGTGTCGTGTTTTTTAGCGGTACCGTTGCCAAATGCAAAATTGATTCCGTAAACCACATTGGTTGGCGTGGTAGTCAGTGTGGGGTTGTAAACAACCAACGTTTTCTTTTCCCCGGACACAAAACGTCTATAAACTCAAAGCGTAAGGGAACATTTAAAAAAAAAAACAAATTTTGCAGGGATCTATACAAACCTGAGATCGCCTTCCTTTTAACTTTAGCTTTTGTCTGAAAACTATTCTTGCAACTTACCAATTTATGTGATCGGTTGAGAAAACTTGAGTCACCAGTAGCCCTTGCCAAGCTCCACCTGTGTCGTTCAAGTGCTCTTTATCTCCTAGGCTTGACACCTCTTTAGACCACAACCATTTGAAATACATTAAGAGAAATTGTTTTGGTCTTTACTACTGAATTCAAAGATCATTCACCACTAGTAATCTATAGTCCAAGCAACGAATTCTTACAATTTAGACCCTCCACGACGTATTGTCTTTGTCGTGATTTCGCGGTTCAGATTTTGTGCGTTCATGTTTAACACATGAGGCGATTCAGGACTGGTCTACGAGCTACCCACCCCCAAGGTAATTTGGTACAGTGTGCTGCCTATTTCGCACAGAGAAAAGTAAACTTGTGCAAGCGATTTCAATTGGAATTTGAAACATCACCTCTCTTCTGGCAAGTAAACGGTCAGGCTAGCTAACACTTTTACAAAGACCCCTTCGTTAATTTGTGTGTAATCGGTGTATCAGCGCAGTTGTCTGGTTAAGCGACCATTTGCCTTGCTGCGGCGCCATGTACCACTAACTACCCAACAAGGGTGAAGTCTGCGGAAGGTCAGAGTGTTAACCGTCTGTTTGTGAGTGGCGTTTGCGTGCGCATTTTTGGCTTAGATGTGTGAATCGTAGATGAGCCAACATCGAGACCTGGGTGTGAGGATAATCCAGGGTAAATTGTTTGTGCGAATGAGGGGGAGTTGTGGATCCTCGCGGCTTGTGCGATGCTGTGTCGAAAGCTAAAGTGGTCGGATTAACGAGTGTGAATCAACGCGAGTTACAACACCTTCAACTATTCCCCTTAAGACAAATGAACTTGTCTAACTGCAATAAGCGCTCTTCTCTCCTAGCATCAATCATGTAGAGATACATGTTTAAGGCCGTCCACAGACGATTCTGCTCATAATTAATTCAGAAGCCATACCTTTGGGCAGTTTGTGGCGTAAATTTGCTTATTTTCGTGCACTTTACACCGATCACACGATACACGTGGTGGTTTTTTGTGCTGTAGAAACCAGCGCTTGATAGTGCAATGACCGACGCCCTCATCAACGACCGCCTGGAGTTTGTTCAGCTCCTGCTGGAAAAGGGCCTTGACGCCTACAACTTCCTCACAGTTCGCCGACTCGAGGAGCTCTATGCTGTCTCGTACGCCTGGAAAAATCACTTCTGCAGCCGGCTCTTTAAAAAGCTCCTCGGAGCCCGCGCGGTACGTCTTGCCTCACAGATGTTTTGCATTTGGGATTGGCAAATTCACATCGGTTAATAAGGAGTGCCGTCTCAATGCATTTAAGTGCTGGGAATGTTTAAAACACCTGTAATCTGTTGGGTTTATGCAAATCAAGATTCTGCCTGACTGAAGCCCTCTCTAAAAAGCAGGGTTTTTCATACTAAGGGAGAATGTTGCTTCTCTAGCGTAACAAAAAACAGTTTCACCAACCAGTCAGCACAGAATGCTCTAGCACTTTTTGGCTTAAATCTCAGTTCCTTACGGCAGCCAGTAAGGATTTGTGTTTGTTGAGTTTCGGAATTTAGCTGAATGTGTCATTTTACGGCAGAAGCACATCAAACAAAACCCAAAGACGGGTTCAATTAGGCTAATTTAATGCCATAAAATGCAAGCAAGCAAGCAAGCAAGCGTTGAGGCTAATGCTGCAGCACCAAAGTGGAGGTTATTGAGCTGAGTGCGTGATAAATCACCCCTGAATTGCACTCCGATTCACGAAAGGCGTCGCGTTAATTATCCCTTTTAAAACATTTTTCGATGAATTTACAAAAAAAAGGCTAATGCTTTGTTCCGTCCGTAGTCCGTGCGAGCAAAGCACGATAATTAGTCTGAAAGCGATCGAAGGTTCCCTTCAGTAATCAATTGAGTCACGTCGCTTTTGAGTTGCCTTTTTGCCTCCTGCAAAATAGGATTGCCATATTGTACCAGGTGTGTCTTGGGAAGCAATGATTCCTGCCGAGCGTGTTGCATCTTTAACCGGGAATGCTAAATATGTGCGTGGATGATCGTGGACGAATCATTTGCCCATTCGCTCAATTCCCCAAAAACACCATCAATCTTTCTATACTCGAAATTCTTAAAAGGCAGTTGAGAAAGGCAATCCGTGCCAGGTCATTTGTTAGGGTCGTTTTAAAACAGCTTAAGCTTAGTAGGTAATTTCGTTTTTAAATTAAATAGCACCATCCAAGACCTGCAAGCATTCGTCGTGGTTTGGGAACCTGGGTTTACTCTCTCCACAGTCGCTGCGCTGTCGAATCAGCCATCCAAACCATCGCACCCTTTCAATGATTCGGGCTAAAACCACTCTCACCCAAGCAACGATGAACTTGTTCACACATTCGAAGCTCTTACAAATGTACATTGAGGGACTTTAAGTAAACATTTAGAGTTCTTTATTTGGAAAACTAATTGCAAGGTTGCTTTGAAATCGACTTTTTCTGGCGTTCGTTTAGACTTCGATAAATTTCCCTCGAATGCAGAAATTTTGAAATCTAAGTGTTTGGTTATGTTAATTTATCGCGTTTGACGCCCGCCTCCCCAATGTGCAGCGTTTTAAACCCTCATTGTTGACTCCAGAATGTCTCAGAATTTCACAACCTCCCTCTGCCAACTACCTGCTTGATGCTGCAACTTTTAATGCCCCACATTTAGGCTTCTACTGTCTCTTTCGCGGAGTCACTTTGGAGCCGGTAGAGTGTGTGTTTGACGCAGTCGTGGGTGTGTTGCCTTAAGCCGTTGCACTTTTTTGTTAAATTCGTTCCTTACGTAGAAAAAAAAACACGGTCTTAATTGACAGAATATGTCATCCAGTTAATGACGACTTTTCCCATGCTCACACCACGTTACCCGTGGGTATTTGTACTTTGGGTTAATCAACCGAAGCCATAAGATAAATGTCTTTGCCATACTCAAGCTAAGTTCAACTGGTTGATCTATCTTGACGCAGGAGGTTCAATAAGTGGGTCACGAGGTGATCTCACTTAAACGCCCCGTTTCACTCACTGCAGACCACACACCATTTCGGTTGCATCACCCGGTGTAATAAGTGTTTCTATTTATGCTTGGCCTCGTAGATGCTGATTTCAGTCACGATGCTATGGATTCTCGGAATTAAATGTGCCCTTGTTGTAAGGTGACCGCTAACAGCTGCATCATAGATTATCACTCTCCTTTTCTTCGGTTCAATTTTGTTCCTTATCGAAGCATTTGGTAGGACAGCACTATATTGAATAGGCTTGCTAGGAAGCCGAACTTCTTCGCGGGTGCATGGATTGCATGTCCGACATAGCAGTTGGCTGCTTAATGGATTTAAGTGGGTGCGGAGGCCAATTTAATAGCCCTAAAAACGAATGCATCAGCAGCACTGTGTCAAGAGACGAAGTGTATTGACTATTTGACCCCCGGTTGATTTACTGTCCTAATTTGCGTGAACGTGTTTCCAATGCTTTTTTAAACGAGACCCTCCAGCGCCTCCTTAGGCTGGCTCTTTTATGTGTGTGCTTGCTTGTGTATCGGTGCAAGTCACAAGTTACTTATCTAGCCCTTAAGGACAAGTTGCATTTGTTGCTCTGTGTGCGTCACGTGTTGTACTCGTGTAGGCGATCAGGGCTGGGGAAAATTCATCGCAAAACACATTACTACTTATTGGCTCAATCAGCCACCACGCTGCATAGGTCACTACCTGATACAATGGTCTCTGTGGTTTTATTTATACTTCCCTCTTCTGATTGGACCTTGATGCCCAAAACATCCTTTCGTCACGAATCTGTATTCTGTTAATGATATTTACAAGAACAGTCTACTCCTAGGATACGAGTAGGCCTAACGTGGTCAATATAGTTGCTTTTCCTGGCATCTAAATTACGGATAATAATAATACCAAGCTTCTTAGCCGCAGATAGGTTCAGCCAGGACTCCCCTGCCCGATAACCGATAGCAAAGTCCAGGTGGGTATTTTACTCAGTCAGCTTATAACTTCCCGCAGTAGCCATTGTCAGGCCTGTTGTAAAGTGACCAGATTTGTGCTAATAACTCTAAGAGTGCTTAAGAGGCATCACGCAGTACTGTGGATTGTCTCCTCTGAGTTTGGTATCCACAGTTTGATGCTTGTAGTCGTATTACGTGCCCCCAGGTTAATTACCTCGTGACAGCGACCTCAATGGGCCTAATTGTATCACCCCAGCCATCAGTCTAATTTTCCATTTGTTAGGACGCCTATTGTCATTTTCAATTTGCCCTCTACCTAGGTCGTCTCACTTCGCTCAATCGGTCAACTCTTAGAACAGGTGATAGGCAACGGATACCAGCATCCATATTGTTCAAAGCAATTCGACGCCCATCTTCGAACCGTCGTTCTAGTATCGAAACAGGTAGATCTCCCCCTTAACTACCCGCCGTTTTGCCCCATCATATTTTCGAATATTTTAATTGTCACTTTGCTCACGACTCAGGCTGTATTGTCAGATGCAAAGCTTTCCCACTTTTTTTTTATAAAAAATCTTACTCCTGCAAATTTTCTTAGTTTGCATTAGGGGTGTCCAGTAATATTTGTGATGTACTAATGGGTTAGCATGGTGACTCTAGAAATTAATAGTTGCAGCGGATTAACAGCGATCGTGCCTGAATGAACCCTGGTTACTGACCTAACGGTGACAATGACTCATCCCCTTTTCATTGGTTACTGTATCACATGCCTGTCATCCGTTCACTCATCCACACACTTGGTTGGCGTGACGCTAATAAACGGTCGTGTTCTCTCTCGCCTCTCTTCTCTCCATTCTCAGGTTGTTACGGGCTGTTAACTAGAGGGTTGTAAGGTAATGCTTAGACCACAAGCCACTACATAGTAACTTATGCTACCAAGGCTACTACTTAGAACCCCTTTGGTTCAAGCAGCTGGGCGTGGTTTGCAGGCTTAGGCACGGATTTTCCAGTTAGAAGTTTCTTCCATATTACCAAGGCCTCTCTTCCCCACTAACGCGATTTCTGTGTTTACTCACGCAAATCGATTAACTGTGGCTTCACGGTTGACAAATAGTTTGCTGCTTGGCCTCTTAGGCGGCACGGAAAATTTTGCAATTGATACCACAGTCTGTAGCCGCGTTTTGCCGCGTCATATCCATTATCAACAGGGCCAATTCTCCTGACTAGTGTTCAGGAAATAATTTTTTATTCTTTAATCTCAAAGTACATACCTCAATAGGTAACTATTTAGAATAACCCAATTCCAAACGATGATGGGACTAAATCGAGTTCACTTGATCGTCATTTTTGCCGAAGTTACGTTGAATAAGTCGTTGTTTTCCCCAAATATTGAATACTTACTTATGTGTATCTGTACTCCATTGTATTTATTAGCCTGGAAGATCTCGGCAACGTTGGTCGGGTTATCCAGGCTCCAACACCAACTCCGGTCCGCCCTCCACCAGACACGGCAGCGACGGCGGCTCGACCTCCGCGTGGACACTGCCCAATACCTCTGCCTCAATATCGGCTGAGTGGGATTCCGGTGACTACGCGCCCTCCCTCGATTACTACGGAAACAGAGTTGGTGGCGGTGGTGGCGAAACTGTTGTCTGCTTCCGCTACCCCTACTCTGAACTCCTGCAATGGGCGCTCCTCACGTGCCGATTCTCTCTGGCTCGATACATGGTGCTTTCTGGTGAAGAAGCTATTGCTAAGGTAGGTATCCTTAAGGTTTCTTTGACTCATACCTCCTTACTCTCTCTCTCTCTCTCTCACAAACACACCTCTGTTTCGTCATAGTGAATCGGTTTGCTCTGTTTCAAGCTTTTTGTCGGTCATATGTCAACAGGGAGAAAGTAAATATTATGGCTAGCCCTACAAGGGTCATGTTCCCATTCCAGGCCTTGTAGCCCTGTACAGGCAGTAAATGTTTATTTTCTTTTAATTCGCTTTGGCCCCCGTGTTGACCTATGTGTTCGCAAAAACGTGTTTTATCTCATTTGGGCTATTGTGTCACGAGTGTTTGCCTAAAAGTATAGCAGTAGCCCACAGAAGCGTCTGCGTTATTGTTATTTACTGCTTTTAGGCTCTACTGTCTGTACGCATTCTGCGTGGGATGCGGAAGTTTATGGATGTGGAATCAGAAACAGAACTCATCAAGGTCATCCGGGCACAAGAAGAGTGAGTTCTTTAGGGTCAGATGTTGTCGGTCCTTGGGTACAGCTCATAGGGTGACAACTCATACCCTTGATCGCGAAAAATGCTAATCCAGACGTCAAGGCCCATTCTAAACCATTTGGCGCGATTCTTAAATCCTTGGTCTAATTGCACGCCAATTCTCCGATTCGTGTGGAGTTCCGATAAGCTTCTTCATCGAAGTAGTCAAATGGGGTCATCGTCTAGGCGTTAAACTGAATCGAGTAGAAAGGCAAATGGTATTTACGTAAAGCTAGTGACTTGTGTTCTCAATTTTCAATGGTCAGCTGCGCTGTGGTGTGACTACGTTTACCAATTTTAACAACATCGAATGCTTAGGAGAATGAGATTGTGGCATGCCTCTTTATTATGCATGTATCTCCGGTCATTATTGCATTCCCCTCCGCTTATAATAATTCAGGCATTTTAATTGGTTCGACATTTCACAGTGGATGTACTTATTCGGGCCACTGATGTACCCTATAAAAAATCGATTTCGCAGAGGTGACGTTTCGTAGATGCCTGTCTTTTCCAATCGCATTTCGATGAGTTGCTGCCACATATCACAGTAAAGTGTCTACTAATTTATTCAGTACCTCAAAAACCACGAATTTCTTTTTTGCATGCTCACCACACTTGCTACAGTCTGTGACTGTCGTTTCAAGCACGCTGTCCTGCGGTCTGTAGATTTGCCGCTGGGGTGGTATAACTTGACCAATGAGGACACTGGATGCTTGTGGGGCCGCTCGCGCCTATCCTTTGTTTCACTGGATGGATGTCGAATTACGCCGTGCAACCCCACACTTTTTTCCGATTGTCTAGAGTCTTCGAGAACTTGGCGGTGGAACTGCAGGAATATTGTCACCGACACGACCCAGCACAAACCCGTCGTCTGTTGACGTACGAACTGAGGAACTTCTCACGCAACACCTGTCTGTCGCTGGCCTACATGTGCGAGTCAAAGTCATTCATCGCCCACCCCTGTGCACAGGCCATTCTCACTGACCTCTGGTATGGAGGACTGCGGGAGGGTCGATTCGTCTCCGCCAAGGTCACTCTAATTCTCATGGGACTCGCGGCTCCACCTATCTATCCCTTTATTGCGCTCTGCTTCACTTCGTCGAAATTCCTCGAGTTCAAGACGCGGGAGGAATTGTCGGCTCAGCCTCAGACCTGGGAGGAGCACCTCGATGAGATGGACAGTTCTTCAAGTTCAAGCTCTTCGTCCACTTCAAGTAGCAGCAGCAGTTCCTCCTCTCGCAGGTGAATTTCGTCTTAATTGAAACCTCAATTTACCCCTTATTTGCATTGCTTTATTGTGAATTTTTCCAATAAAAATAATAATAAGACTGTCAACTTTGATTAATTCACTTCCATGCATCACTTAGTTCTAGCAACGTGGATAGCACGCGCGGAAAAGCAGCACATCTGTTTCTTCCACCCATCCGTCCAATACACCAGCGACCCTTATCCGATCCACCCCCGCGACGACGGTGGCTCGACGTCGGTGCAGATTACCAAAAGGTGGGTTTGGTTTCACGCAGCAGCCCCAGTTAATTTGTTGTTTTTTTTTGTTTTACAGTGCCCTTTGACCGTGATTGTTTTTTCCTAAGCCTCAGAGGGGGCGTGGTGACTCGGGTGTTATGCCAAATAGTCCCTACGTAAAGTCTGCGTTTACTTGCTCCCTGACTTGCCAATGCACATTGTTTTGCTTCTAAGGCTGTTGTTGGCATACTTTGGTTTAAGATGGCCTAATTCTTGACCAGGGAGCAAATCCACACTGCTTGGAAATCCGCGTGTTGTTATGAACGCACCAAGTGACTTGCACATTTATTCGGACGCTTAATGGGGTTTATACTACATAAAAACAAGTGTGAAAAATTCTGAGGGAATGTCCTACTATTTGCCTTGACTAGAGTAGTTTTGAGATTTCAAAGCCGATCACACGGGTCTTCACGACTCTCTACGGATAAACACACACATTTATTCTTTAGGAGGCGTAGATCTTTGAAGTGAGTAGTCAACGCCCTTTGAACCATCAATCTTGTCGAATACTGCTAACTATTTAGTCTGCGGTATTTTCAGACAAATGGGAGCCTTGTTAATTGCCTTTTCACCTTTAGAAAGACGAAAATACTGACGATATAGTTGCAGTAGAGGAGGGTAGGTGTTCCCAGGCAGTGGAGGACACGGTGGAGGGCGAAGTGCCCGCAAAGGACGGCCGACCGACGAGAATCCGCGCGTACTCCGACACCATCTCCGGGGCGCAGAAGGCCTACTTCGTCCGCCTGTCGGAGGCAATCAATGCCTCGGCAAAACTCTCAGTCGTCAATGAGCTGGTCGATTCCCCAGAATCTCCTCAGGTTTCTCCTTGTCTCTGTGTTTGCCTGTGTGTGTTTGGGGGTTTTGTTTTTGAGGGCAGGCCTGAAGTGTTCAGTGCCAGTAGAAGCAGCTGCATACTGCTACCTAGAGATAAATCTTTAACCCAATTCGTCTGTAATTTTCAATAGTATAAAACGGTGAAGCAAACGGCCATTGGACCAGCATGTCGTTCGTGTTTATCTCAATTCCATCTCTTAACGACACCTGCTGCTGACTTTTCCTGCTACAAAAACTACTTGTTGGATAGTTTTTGTTCGGCCCGTCAAATCGAGTAACTCGCGTGTCGGAGCACTTTGTTTTAAAGCCCTCATGTCAGAGGACAATATCCTGCTGACGAGGGTTGTCGGCAGAAACAACTGAATGGGTTTATGTGGGCCCATGCACACACACGCACACACAAACTAAGTTTGTCATTTTCACTTATTGCCTTTAAGGAGGAGGGCCTAGAGGAGGTGGAGGAGGTGGAGGCAGAGGCAGAGGCGGAAGAGGAGGCCGAAACCAAACCTCTGCCAACGATTCAGGTGGATGGCGTCGCGCTCTCTGACCATGAACTGAGCGTCGAAATTATAAGCCCGAGGGGTACCAGAACAGGTGACTTTTCGTCTTCTTTTTTTGTACTGCTGATTGGATTCACTGAAAAGTATTTTTTTAATAGAGGCGAAAGTCGGATGAACACATTCTGAGCGACCTGGTGTTTCATTGTAACCTTCTTTAAGTCTGTTTCTCTCGCCAAGTTTAACCGGCAGAACAGATAAGCCTTGTGGTTGCACCACAAGCAGCTCCTGAGCCCTTGTCTACCAATATACAAGAGTTCAAACTAACATTTTCCTAAGTGAAGTTAAATGTCCTGATTCCTTTTAAATTGTAACCCGTGACAGCTCCGAACGTTCAGGAATTTTAAATTCTCCGTGTAGGCTTCGTATTTGTGTCTATGCGACGGTGGCATGAAACTCATCTCGCATTTCTTAGTGTAAATCCGCCTTCGTATTTGATGCGCGTCTAGGGTAAATTGTCTACCAACGTCACTGTTTGTCATTTCGCAACTGCAAATTTACTAACCTCACGCACTGTAGCTTACAGCAAGAATCTGTCAGAGCCTGTGTGACTTGACACGGACATTCCTCACCCCCACCCCCATTCTAGATGGCTCGGAGAGGCAAACAGCGCCTCGCTTGAACGAAGAGTCCGACGGCTCCTTGCCATCCGCCGTTAAAAAGGCTCTCGTGGAGGAGGACGTGGCCGGTGAGAAGCGCCATCATCACCGTTCGCGCCGAAGGAATTCCAGGTCCGTCGGGGATCTCTTCGCGGTAGCGCAACCCCCAGCGTCTGCCCACCGGACCTCGCAGCCCACGCGAAGAAGCGAGGTCGCGGGTGCGGCGCGTGTCCCGCCTCCACGAACCGGCTCTGACGACAGGCCGTAAGTGAGTGCTGCCCTCACGAGCACACCTGAATTTGACTGTCTCTCTCTCTCTCTTCGTTCTGTTGCGACCCTCTTGTTATCACCTCATAGGATTAACGATACTATTAGTGTGATTTAAAGATCACCAGTGCGTTATATGATGCTTAAATTAGAATAATCTCTTTTCCGTGAAAGAATCTTGAGTATGTATTAATTTGTACAGGTTTTTTAACATGTTTATTTAATATAAAAAGGTGGGGAACCAGGGCATTAATCTTGGAAATACTGTCCATTGTTTTCACTGCTCTTACACCATCTCTCAGATAACGTACAAATGACGTCGCGAAAGAATCTTTCAGGCTTCGAGGCAATAAAGTCACTGATAACGAATTCACGCACATCGCCCAGCGTTTTGAACTGTGTGTGCACATGTTAGCCAGATGAAGCCAAGTGTGGTAGATATGCCGCGTGCGGGAAAACTTCCCATTCCAAGTTCAAGAGGGTCTTGTGAATCGCGCGAGCAACGTGCGATGGCTGAGTATTGTCTAGCAGCAGCAGCAGCAGTATGACGTGCCTGCTTCCTTGCTCAGCAAATGGCCTTTTCTGATTGCGTTTTTCGCTTAGTTTGTTCACTTGTCGTCTATGGAGTTGCGCAGTCACCATCTGATCAGTTTCCAAGACTTCATTGGTTTACCTAGGTTCTGTTCGGTCAACACGTGTGGGGGACCCAACTTTCAAGTTTTTTGGAGAACAACGCGGAAATATTTCGATTTGAGACATAATTTTAAACTCGGAAAAGTAACCTGTACAAGTTAACACCTAATGCACTGACTGTGTCATCAAGCAACATCAACTAGGAATGACTGTGCTGGATTAGGCTGTATTACCTGCTGTTCTCGTGAAGTTCTCAGTCTCCATGGCGTTCGTTTTTAATGCATATTAGTAGGCAAGGCCTCAGGAGCTGTCTGCAGTGCAATTTCGACAGCGCTTTTCCTCGAGACTAACTCCCGTTACTTCTGTCATTTCAGTAGTTCGAATGCGCCAGGTCACCGTCCATCCAGCCAGAATGCTTTCATACCGGAAGGCGGTCCGTCGATTCACCAGCGACCTCGGTCGTCTGCAGTGCCGATTAGGCGGCTGCACAACGGTTCCCAGGTGTACTCCTCGTCGCTCATACACGACTACTCTTACGGCCGGTCCATCGGCGGTCCACCGCCGCCGCTGTTCAGCTACGGTCCGGGCACGGGGGTCGCCGACCCCGGCTCTGCAGAGAGCTCCAGCGGCGCTCTCCAGCACCAACTGTCGTGGCGCAAAAAGGTCTACGAGTTCTTCTCAGCCCCAGTGACACGATTCTACCTCCACGTGGTGAGCTTGTCGTGCCTTCCATTTGCTTTTGGCCTTCCTCTTGTCAGTCTCGCTTCCTCCACATCCCTTCGACCCCTACCCCGGTTTTCTTCTTACTTCATCTTCACTTCCCCCCCCCAACTTGCGCCATCTTTTCCTTGCACCCTCCCTCCCCTCACACTCTAGCATTTTCCTCTTGCAATAAAAAATGATGTAGTCTAGCACTTGGAAAATGAATGAACTGAATTTTTTCTGACAAAGTACTCCATCTGTCTCCCCTCGCAGCTAATGTATTTGGTCTTCCTGCTAATGTACATCTGCTACTGCCTGGTCTGCGTGCCCTACCAAACAGTGAACGCCTTGGAGATGTACATCTACCTCCACATCCTCACGTACGCCTTCGACAAATTTAGAGAGGTGAGTGGCCGTTCGGCAGCACTGTTTATCCCTGTCCTTCGGGTGGGTATAGCCTAATTCCTTATTTCACAGGTCATTCGGGTTCATTTACTATTGCTGTGTGCTTTTGTGTGCGTGTGTGTGTATTTGTGATTGGATAGATTGTTATTTCCACAGTCGACGGTAGACACGCAAAATCTGTGGATAACCGAACAAGCACTATTTTGGCCATGTCGTTGTGAACGCGTGCCTATCAAATTGTCAAGAGGGCTATATAAGGATTAAATAAAGACCTAGACTCTCCTTTGAGGATACACCGGTGTTTTATAGCTGCTAGATCAACCTTACGCCCACAGTCATTTTCATTTTTGTTGTTTGCTCTGCCAGTTTTGAAAAGTCAGAATGGTCCAGGCCACAAGTGTTAAAAACGTTACCCTATCTTCTTCTTCTTCTTCTTTTTTTAAACCCAGGTGACACTTTCTCCGGGAATCAGTTATCGCCAGAAGTTGTGGGTCCATTTGACAGCCTTCTGGAACGTCTACGACTTCGTCTTGAGTTTCTTCTCTGTCCTGGGCGTGCTTGTGCGAATGATTGGCCTTCGCCACCGTTTAGTCTTCCTCTGGGGCCGCAATATTCTCGTTTGCTGTTGCTCTTTCTGGTAAGATAGCTGTCAACTCTTATTCAGAATATTACCGAAACTAACAGGGATATTTGGCAATTGTGTGAACAGTCTCTGTTTCTTTTACCACCTCTGCAGCTTCGTAGTGACGGTCCCGAATTCTTAGAGAAGTAATAAGTGGTTCATTATGTCTACTACACCAATCGAAACACAGTTTTTTTACCATCTTAGATTTATCAAGCTTGGTCGCATATGTAAGGTTCTCGATCTTGGCAAATTATTTCTCTGTTGAAGAGGTGGAATGTCTGCTAAGGGTACTTCGTATGTCTGCCACTGTCACTGTTTACTCGGGTTTTACAACGACTATAAGCGCAATAGTGCCTGTTAAGACGCGGAAGCACCAGAAGTGGAGTGTGGGTCCTGGGAGTTGGGATTTGACGTACACGACAATGACCCCAGTGAGATTAGCCGGGCATGTCGTAGCTTTTGTTAGATTGATTTCTGCTTGTTCTTCTTGTTGGCAGATTAATCCAACTGGTACGCTTTCGTATATTTTTCCCTTGCGCAGGTTGATGCGCTTTCTCGAGTTGATGCAAATTTGGCGATTCTCCGGGCCCTACATCTACGTCATCGTGAAGATGCTGCAGGCCATGATTCCCTTGTTGAGCCTCGTATTCCTCCCCTTAGTTGCCTTCGGAACCATGCGAGAGGGCATCATGGTGATGAATAGGACCAGTGTTACCGTTGAGGGCATCAAGGACATCCTTCTGGAGCCCTACTTCATGCTTTACGGCGAGGTCTATGCACCTGAGATCGATCGTGAGTCAGTTGGCAGTTGCCTCTGCGCCTGAATGAATTCCTACTCGAAGGTCTGCAGATGGGATTTTAGCGAGGTCAAATATCTGCCCTTTGGTGCCACTCGTCAAAATTTGGAGCGTTGCAACGACACATAAAATTGCCGTTCATTTCTGACTTGCTAACCTTGTAACCTACTCGGCTCTGGGCGTTCCGATATTCCACCACCTCGAGAGCTTTCAGCCAGGCACTTTGTCCGATTAACTTGCAATTTTTTAATGATCAATCACTGTAGGCTAATTTACGTTTTAGCTAATTTCTAGCAAGCATCTCTTATGGTAAAACGCCCTATTTTAATTGACCAATTAGCGTCTTTCTCTGAGGTTGTAATCATTAGCAAGAAAAGTTGACAAACTAGTTTGTACTCACTGGTGATAACGAAGATAGTTTCGGGGAGCTAGTAGGTTACAATGTCAGAAGCCAACTTCGCTGTGGTACTGTGCTTTTCAAGACAGCTTCTTGGCTCACACATTTCTGCCTTGGCAACCGTCTAACCGTCTGATTGCCACCATCGTCCTGTCTAGCCAAAGACTGGAATGTCAATTTGGACGAAACACCCCTCTACCAAATGGTTCCCATCACCGACGTGATCTACCTTCTCTACTCCATTGTCCTAATGCTCAGTGTAATAATCGCCGTCTTCAACAGCATCTACTCTCGCGTGCTGGCCCAGTCGGAGCTCATCTACAAGTACCTTCGCTACTCCATCATCATCGAGTACGAGTCCCGCCCCCTCCTCCCGCCGCCTTTCATCATCATCTCTTGGCTCTACGCCATCGGACGCTCTCTCTACCGGTACGGTTAGCCTCCCTTCCTGATTGTTTGCGCGTGTGCCACTCACTCCGATCCATCGCTTCAAGTTTTAACTTGGGTGACGTCGAGTGTGTGCGTAGCTACTCCAGACACCAGTTTTGCTACATCTGTACCCAAATAGGTGCTAAACGAAAGCAAAATTATCGTTTAACGTGTAAGAGCAGTAGCAGACCCACAATGAAGTTCTTCCAGTCAGCATTGCTCCTAGAAGACAGCCCCTTGAGGTTTACGCATTCTGTTTTAGTCGATTTTGTCGAAGCCAGCATTGCTGTCGCGGCTGTCGTCGGATTTGCAAGCGCTTCCGACGATGTCGACGCAACCTACGCCGGCGGTGCTTCCGTTCACGTCGGAAATCGTCCTCCAGCAGCTCCTCCTCATCTTCCTCCTCCTCGTCGTCGTCATCGTCGTCGGAGGTGCGATCCTCGTCCCGCGGGAACTCCTTCGACATCGGCCACATTTTCGCGCCAGGCGTAGCAAAGTCGCAGGCTGGTCAGCAGTCTGGCGGTCTAAGTACGTTCCCCAAGTGTGACCCTTTTGCTTACTCACACCGACTGGGCATTGAAATTAGCTGGTAATGGAATGGCGAGGCGGTAGACCACTCCGACCGATTTCCAGTTCTCTTCTTAGTGTCGATGCAGTTGAACAAGTTCGAGCGATTGTAGGTAGCACTAGCTACTGACTGGACAAATATATCTCCTTGTGACCTTGTGACAGTACTTTGTTGATAGTGTTGTAAACCTTGATCCCAGTGCCAATTTTGATCCGATTTCTGTCTCCTAATCGATATGGTTGCTGATTTACCACGCGATTTCGACTTCTACTGCTGCTGATTGAAGCATTAGGGCCAGTTGGATGTGTCACTGTTTTCTATTCTCCTCTTCCCTTAAGAGCTCTTTTTGAAGCCCGAGGAAGTGGAGAAGCTGCACGACTTTGAGGAGGAGTGCGTCGAGGAGTACTGGCGGGAAAAACAGAAGGCTGAAAAAAAGCAGTCTGAAATGCAGCTCGAAAATATCAGTGCTCGGTAAGGCTGGAATTTCGCCTCGATTACTTTAAATTTACCAACACCAGCTACTTACACGTTGTAAGTAGCCTGTTTCACAATAAATGTGAAATTGATTGGGTGTCGTCTTCACGTCTCGTAGTCTTGGCACAATGCAGTACCGGCTTGGAGAGGTTCATATTCAGCAGCAGCAACTTCGAGGTGCGTTTCATTCGTTGGAAGAGGAGATGCTTGCTGGTCATGAGGAGGTCATGTCGTACATCGACGAATATCACCACGAGAAGCCAATTCGCAGACGCCCGCTTGCCTCGTCGGCTCTCCGGGCTCATTCACCCACGACACGCGACGACGGCGACGACCCTCTCCTCCTCGGCAGCCTACTGTGGCTTCTCTCAAAGTTCGCCGAAAAGGAATCAAGTAGGCCATCTCTTGTGTAATTCTGTATTCACCTTTTCGTATATCATTGTTTGTCACCTAGGCTCTCTGGCTCCTCGTCAGTTTAAAATCTGTTGCTAGATTTTCGGCAAACGCTTGAATTGTCCCCCGGTTCGGACGCTCAAAATATTGGCTTCTTAGTGCTTTTATTAATTACATTTCTTGAAATTGGATCCGTGTGTGTCCCCCCCCCTTCATATCATGGTGTGTCGATCCGCGGTTCTGCCACGAAATCTCCTGTTCTGGGATTATAATGCTTTAGAAGGCACCATGTACGATGATTTGGCCCAGTTTAGACACCTTTTTTGATCGCTTTTTTGTCTGCTTGTGTGTGCACCAGCAGGCACGAGGAGGCGAGAAAGGACGTTCGGTGGCACAGCAGCAGCCGCGTCATCGTCGATTTGTCGTCGTCGGCCTTTTGCCACAAATCTCTCCTCTCACACGGAAGAGGAGGAGGAGGGAGATGAGGAGGAGGACGAGTGCACTGACCTCCCGAAGGACCCCTCGCCGCCCCCTCCCGCCGACGACTGTTCCAACAACACTCCGATTCCACTCGATGCCAGCACCAGAAGCAGACCTGTCAGACCACGTCAAACACATCGCCTCCGGAATGAGGTGAGGCACTTGCCACTTTAACCAAGCCCTGTTCTGTTGCGCTCACACCGACTGGGTATTCTGGTGGGGTAGACAGACCTTTGCCGCGGCACTCTTGTCACTGATTTTCACTAGCCACTTAGATTCCGGGGTTAACTATTTTAACAGAATTTTCAGTAATCTCGATAACTGAAATCAGAGCCCATTTAAGGAGGCGAAAAACGGTGGCATCGGTTACTTCACTTTGCTATCTTCTACTTGTGCTCAAAGCAGTTCTACCGACTTTTATGTTCTTGGAACCAAACCAGTTGCGCGCGCATGTGAGAAGCTTACGACGTCACCAATCAGCCAACCTTACACGGTATCCCCTTTTAACTATGTCAAACCACCGTTTGGTAGAGGTGTTGAACGTGTGGCCACACTTGGACTCCAGTAATGAAGTCTGCGAGTTTGAGCTTAGCGTCTGCTTCCAAGATGTGCATCGTACCAGTGTACAAACGACAGACGTTACGCAGAGGGCAGCGTCAAGTGTTGGACGAAGGTTTAGAGCCGTCGCTTTTATTGTTGAAGGCTCGGCGCCGACGGAGGAGGGAGATTGTGGTTTCCAGCGACGACGACGAGGACAGCGACGACGAGGGCGCCAAGTGTCAGTCCTTTGTGGGCAATTCTGCCCGCGACTGGATCCGCATGCTCGGTGAACGCGTCATTGAAATGCAACAGAGGGAGAAGACGCGGCAATCGCACGACCGTGAGCAGAGTCCCTTCCTCCTGCGCGCCCGCCATTACGCATCCCTTTCACCCACACCGCCACCACCACCGCTCTCGCACCTCGCTAGCCACACCTCAGCTAACAACCCCTCCTCATTTCCCGGGTTTTTCGACAAGGACCACTTCCATGGGTCAGTTTGCACATATTTCCAACAAACCACTCTCAATAAACAAGTATTATTATTAAGGGGAAAGTTTGTTTCGTTTAGCATTGGGAAGCAGCAGCCGCTGCAGCGTCACCGCAGTTCAAACCTGTCAGTCTATGGTCGTCACGTGCGCCTCTCTGCTGTGGCGCAGCACGCCATCCGCAAAGAATACACCACCATCCTCGATGACATTGACATCTCGCATCTGCTTCGGGTAGGCATCTCCTTGTTACCAATTTAGGCCACCTCAACCCACCCCTCCCTCCACTTCCCCACCTCTTTGTTTTCGTTCCACTCGTTCCTACGCCCTTCTCGTCTCTTTCCTTGGCCCGCACTCCTGATCTCCTAATTGTCATTAGCACAAGTCTTCCCTGAGCCGCATCCGTTCATCTCCCTCTGGTTTGTCTACCCGAAACGTCCGGATGTCATATCCTTAGTCAACTGGCTTATCATTAACGTTTCCATTGGCTTTCGTGAAGGTAAAAAGAGACGATAAACTCCCCCTCAGGATCGCATTAATGACCGTGCGAGGTATAGTAAGCAACCAAGCCATGCAAGTACATAAATCCTGACCTCATGCCACTGTCGACAAAAGGGGCACATTCGGTTATTTCTTAAAGCGCTTCACCGGCAGCCCTCCTTTGCGCGTGCGGCTGATGTCAAGTAAGTAACTTGTGTTCCCCTGTCTCGCCCAGCCCGACAGCCCAGCAACAAGCCCGATGGGGTCCCGCGTCGACCTGAACACCGTTCACCTATTGCCCTACGGAGGTTCCATGAAACACGCTCAACATCCCCGCGGAACTCGTTTTGCCATTCCCCCTCTGGGCGGTGCCTCTCCCCACCCGAGGTCTGTCTCGCCGCTGTTTCCGCACGCGCCCTCT